TTTTGAGCAAAAAGCTGCATTTCCCATCTGATGCTCTTTTGACGTTTTGGACTGCAAGTCCCATAAACCCTAGCCACCATGGAATCCTGGTGAGGATTGCAAGGAAACCTGGAAGTTGTAGCTGAAAAAATCTGGAGAGCACCAGGCTGGGGAAACCTGGCCAGTAAGCTGCCTTTCCCTCCTTAAAGAATAATCACACCCAGCAGCCACACACTGCCAAAGGAACTCCCGAAACAGAAACTATAATTTTCAAGATTGAAGTTAAGATTGAACCTAGCAATTAAGCATTGCCTTGTAACGTTGGCAGTAATGCCGCTGCCGCTGCTGCTGCTGGTAGTATGGGGTGTGTGCATGTGAGTGAGTGAGTGATATAGAGAGAGAAAGAGAGAGAGACCAGGACTTAGCAAGACGAGGAGCCATCCTCTCACTGGTGCATCCAGGTCTGCATTTCTCCTTCCTGTCCATGATGTTTCCTTAGTAATCTGGCTGTTCCTAAGTAGTAGGAGAAATCATTCTTCCTGTTTTTAAGACTGTATTGGATACAGCCCAATAAACACAGCTCCTTTGCTTCTCCCTAAATCCTTGTACACAGAGAAACCTGCCCCACATCTGTGGCTACATTCAGTGTTGGACCGTGGGAGAAAAGCACTCCATGTGAGGGTGCTTTCATGCGAGTTCCTAGCCAGGCGGGGTTTGTCGCAAGGCTCGTGTGTGTGCTGTAACTCGCCTGCATGGAAAGGTTCTCAGGCTCAGTCCCTGGCATCTCTACATAGGCAGGAAAGACTTCTGTCAGAAACCGTGGCAAGCAGCTGCCAGTCAGTATCCACAATACTGGTCTAGACAGTCTGATTTGGAATAATGCACTTCCTATATTTGTGTGAATTGTGGGTGCCAGACAACTGAGCCAGCACACCTGGGCCTGGGGTAGAAATTCACCATGTGAAAACAGCTCTAGAAAACTACATACGGGAGCCCTCCTCCTCCCCGCCACCAAAAAAAAAATTGTGCTTCCACTATTCCCCATCCCACCGTTCTGTTTTAGAATGGCTAATGAAAAAAAGCTAAAGGTTTAACATTCTGCTCAGCCTTGTAAAAACTCTGAAGCAGAAGCAAGTCTACCAGCAGAAGATTAACTGACTGTTCAGCTCCATCAGAGAAGGTGTTAGAACACGGAATATACTCTGACCTGGTTCACATGTAATAACACTGGTTCATTTACCTGTGGAGCTTGTCACCACATGCCAGCTGCCATGTTTAGAAGGCAAGCACGGAGAAGGTGTGCCATGGCTTCTCACGGCATGTGAACCCAGCCAGGGCGGGTCGTTGCCATGGCTATCAAACCACTCATTGCTGATATGGGTGGTTCATTAGCCATGCCAGTTCACGTGATAGAAAAAGTTGCAGTGCAGCCCCACTGTGGCTTCAATTTAAATGGCAGCTGGCATGCAATGCCATGCTCCATGGATAAATTAACCTCTGGTGACTTGCTGTTGCATGCAGACAGGTAATATGGGTATAACTCCCTATCCTGGGATGTTTTATATCCACAGATAAAGTTGTTCTCAAGTTTCAACTGGTACTGATTTTCCAAAAAAGGCAATCCCAGCCAGTCCCAATTCTATTGGTGCATAGTGGTCTATTATACAATGCACGAGCTGGAACATGTATAGATTTCCAGGGAGGCAGGAATGGCAGCAAGCCATCCACCAAAGAGAAGAAATCAGAACATTTATCTAGTGATCATTGTCCCAAGTCCCTCTTTCAGTGTTTCACCAGAAAACGCAAACACATACAATGTCTGTGGTTAGGGCAAATTTATACCCCCCTTTAAAAGAGTAAGCATTCTTTTTTCAAGTAAGAAAGTTACTTTAAAAAACAATTATGGGGCACGATTATGACTGCAGAAGCAGCATAACAGTTGGCATGGGAGGGCAGTTGCTGAGGGTCCGAAGGTCAGAAGGGGCTTGTGCGTATGCATTTGTGTGTGTATGTCAGTGTGTGGTATTTATGTGAATGCACTGTATTCATTATATATATGTATGTAAAATGCAACAAAGGGGCAACTTTTCAGCTCAGAAAAGTTCTTTCCTAGTTGTCAGATCACGCCTGCATTTCTCCTGCACATGCAACAATAAGAAGGAAGAGGTTGTGGGACCACTAAATGCTGACATTACCCCAAGTGCCAGGCTGGGAACTGGGATTGTACCAGTGACTGGATTGTCTGGCTCCAGCTTTGTGCTTCCGCCTGCTACAAACCCCACAGAGAGATCATGCCCAGCAGCTCCATACAAAGCATTATGCTCAGGCAGAACTTGTTAACCAAGGCTAGTTCTAAAATGATGACAACTCTGCCCATAGTAACAAATGACAAAACTATAAAAAGAAAGGCTTGCTTCCTTTTAAGGTTTGAGACTACAATTCAAAATTTTCAGCCTTTCTGAAATGCCAGTGAAAAGGTTCTTCCTGAATGTTATCCTGAATGTTAGTCAATTTATCTAACCAACTATGCCCTTCTAGGGGGAAGTGGGAGGGGGGAGTCTGGGGGATAACCTCAGAAAAACCCCACCACTTGAATTTGGAGTCCGGATTGTCACATATTTTCTCATTCTGCAGCTGGATTCAGTTGTCTGGAGAGAATCAGATGGGCATGGTGTAAACAGTTGCCTGTACCAATGCTCTGAATGTTTCAGCACTTGCATGGCACATCATGTGGCATGACCAATGAGCTCAATGTTTCCATGGACTAGCTAGTGGAGAGATGGAGAGGGTCTGATCCATGCAAGTCAGAGAAAACTAAGGGATAATGGATAGCTGATCACAGCTCAGTGGTACACCTGTCTGGAACCCTGAAGAGCTGTTTTCAATCAGTGAGGATAGCATTGAGCTAGATGGACCAATTCTTTGATTCTTCATAAGGCAACTTTGTATGTACAGCTTATGACCTGCTAGAACACTCTGATGTATCTGGTAATTCTTCACAAACATGCTGCCTAACCCAGAACTTGAACATTCAGTCCAATCTCTGGTCAGGGTGGAATTCTTTTGCAGCTGACAATTATGGTCTTTTCTCCAAGGCAAAGTGTTTCTGCATCTTAGGCAGAATCTCTAAAGTGAAAACTGTTTTAACTGATTTGGCAAATAGAACAAACAAGAGCATAACACACAAGTAAACAATAGAACAAATAAGTAAAAAAGAGAGGTTCAGCTACTCTTTACGGTTAAACAGTCCTCTAGAGTTCAATATCTGAGTTGTGAATGTATCACTTAGTGTTCTTTCATTTCAGTGAAAAGTAATATTTGAAATGCATGACCACATTAAAAAGAAAAGTATTTTCTACATGTAAGAAGGCATAATTCATAGTTAAGAAGATTGTCACTAGTTAGAACTGTATTTTGAAATCAAGTGCTAATTGGTGATGCAGGGACCATACAAAATTCTCATTTCTACGAACGTGACAACTCCCCAGCCAAAACCAGTTCTACTGGAAGGAAGAATCACCAGCCAGGCCCAGTGCCAAGACAGACAACTCCCAGTTCTGAACCAGTTCTACAAGGCAAACCACGCCCTATCAGAAAAGGTGCTACGGGGTGGGGGGGGGGCACTCCTGAAGGAGATGCTTCACAGGGGATGTTCCCATACAACAATTGTTCTGGGGATGAAGTCAAAGCTGGTTTTTAAAATAGCACTTTTAATAACCTTGATCTGTAATCTAAGTTTTTTTTACTATAATTTGGCCTTTCTTTGGAAGAAATTTGGAGTAGTTACTCTGCAGAGTGGGAAGCAGCATTAGTATATTCAAAAATGGTTTAAAAAATCTTGTGGCACTTTGATTATGACATCAGCTTTCATGGCTTAAAGTTCACTTCATCAGATGCATAAAATGTTATCTTCACTTGGCAAGTATATACAAAACTTAATTTTATACCTACAGAGATCGCATAATGCTTCATGTGTCTGATGAAATGGACTCTAGTCCATGAAACCATATGCCATAATCAATTTGTTTATCATTAAGATTCTTTTAAGATTCATTCTTATATTATGCTGATGCGCTACAAAACAAGCCAGTGCTGAAAACTGAGGGATATAGAAGTATACCAATTTGCACTGGACTATTGTACTAGTCTTGTGTTTCAGTATTTTAAAATTTACCAGTTCTCTGGTAAAATAAAACCAGTATTTCCCATTTCAAGTTTTCAATCTTTGTACGTAGTCTTGAATCAGGAAGAACCAAATCACTGAACAGATACTGCATTGAAGCATTTATATGCAGTCCTGAATATTTGACTGCCAAGTTGTATGAGAGAGAAATGGTCAACAACATCTGCATTTGTTGTTAAGTATGTATTCCAGGGGTGGGCAGCTTATAGCCCTCCATCAGCCCATTGGTCAGCCAGTATAACTATGGTGTGGCATGATGGGAATTGTAAGCTCAAACATCTGGAGGGTCACCAGCTGTGATCTGTGTTCTTCCCACCTAACCAAGAGCCAAAGCATGCAACATTCCACATGTTTACCCAGAAGCTCCATTGTATCTAATTTGGTGCATTCCTTAGTAATTATTTTTAAGATTGTGTAGTGGTCAGAGCATTGTACTGGAATTTAGAAGGTGTGTATTCTAGTTCTCACTCAGTCATGAATCTCCCTTGGTGAATTTGGGCCAGTCAAACTAACCCTCACAGGGTTTGCTTTCAACCTAACCCTCACAGGGTTGTTGTTATGAAGATAAAATGGAGAGACAGGTAACCTTGGGTTCCTTGCAAAAGGAAGACAGGAAGGATATAAATGTCTAATAACAACAACAACAGATGCCATTGGGAAGTGTTGTCAAAAATCAGAATGCCAGAATAAGGATCTGATGAAATTAAGGGCAAGCAGAATAGATTTTGACAAATGCTTTGGAAACAGTTATTTCCAGACTATGACGGTTACTAGTTTCTAGTTTTGCACAGAAGAAATAATAATAGACTGGCTAGATAAGACTTGCATAGGAACTTACTTTGAGCTGGAACGAGCCTGACCATAGACCATATCCTGCTTGCTCGCGACAGGCTGGGCATAGAGAACATCCTGCTTGTTAGCAGAGGTGCAGGAGGAGCTGCGGAATGGAACTCTCTTGTTTGTCCTTGTCATGGTTGTAATTCCATGCTGGTTGCATGTGCTGCTGTACAGGCTGTGACGATTCAGACTGGCCTTGTTACCCACACGGCTTCCACTCTGGTTTCTCCTCAGAGTGCCCCGTGGAGGGTCGTAGCAGAGATCTGGCTCGCTCCGACTGCTCTTCATATGCTGCAAAAAGCAGTAATCACTACCAGGACTGGTTGGACTGCAGATCTTGTTGTAGTTCCTGCTTCCCCAGCCATCCATTTGGCTATAGGAGCTGTAGCGCTTGCTCTCTGCTGCCTCTCTTTTGAGGGTCCCATTGTACATCTGGGGAAGGTGGAAGACGGGGAGAATTGAGGGATAGGACAGTAAATGAATAAAGCTTTTTCAAATGGGGTTTCAGCTGCTTACCGAAGGCATACCAATACTGCTCCAATAAAAATAACATTCAGCTCATTTACTTTGTTAGGAATGTAACCACCCCGGGGGATGCTAGGCACATGGGAGGTCTAAGCCCATAGGACATAATACTGTGTAAAACTTGTATATGCTAATATATGTGTGTGCAAATTTAAAAATACTTACTAGGTCGGTAGGTGATGTTCAGGGCAACCCACAAGGGCTGGGGCCCCAAATCTATCATTTGAAGGTCTGAATCTCTGGGAGGCCTTCTGCCCCACCACCCTGCTGTCTGTGGACACTTGCCGAATAAAGGTGCAGGGGCCTGATTATCTCTGTTGAATTTGAGTTTAACTCATGGTTTAGCTGGCTTTTTGTCAACAGGTGCTTCACCTCCTACACCTCCCACCCCCTGCACTTGAATCTTTTGGGCTTTGGTTGCTTTTCTGAAATCAAATGTCCTTGTTTCCTTGTCCTTTTACAAATAATGATGTCCTTTGGAGACAGGGTACTTTAAACACAGAGAGAGAGAGAGAGAGATTGACTTTAGACCACATGGAAATTAGCATATGCAAACCAGTGTATATATATTTTCCTGTGGGCCTGAACCCATATCTTTTTAGTACCTAGCACTGCTCCTGACTAAGACTTATTTCATATTCACTAAAGGGATGGACAGCCATTTAATATCTCATCCAGATCGCAAATCAAATAAATTACTGAATTAATTTACAACCCACCTGGCTTTATCCCAAATTGGTAGCTCCACTCCAAGTGTCATTCATTTGCAATTGTTTACTGTCTTATCCCCACTTTTTGACTTTACCTCGCCTTTCTTCACTCCCTATAGGAAAAATGCTCCCTGGGCAATTAAGCATAAAAGAAAATCTCCTGTTGGCATGAATGGATACTCATTGCTGTGGGGAACATATCCAGGGCTCAAGAAAGAGACTGGGATGGATGCCCATGCATCCAGACCTAGCAACACCCCTGGACAGACAGGCATTTTGCTGCCTGTAACAAAGCAAGGATTCCCATCCCCACAAAGGCCAGCACTTTAAGAGCTCAGAAATAAACCCCGTTGTGTTCAATGGGACTTACTCCCAGGTGAGTATGCATAGATCTGAAGCCTTGGGAGTCGCTGCACCAGGAGTGCCTGCCTTAACCTCTCCTCCCCCACCTACATCTCCATTCATGCTACTGACATGAGGTGTCTCATCCTCCCTTATGCCCGGATCAGCCCTAAATTGCAGCAGGTCATATCACTCAGCACCTCTGGAAATTTGTCATTGTTACTGTCTGGATTTGTCATCGTCATTACACATTATTATGCACTGCATTTTTTTATTCTTACCCCACCCCTTCAACATCACAAAGGAGAAGAAAAGTAACCCTCACTAGATATAAAATAGGGAATCGAAGTGATAGGGCACCATTTGTATTTGAAAGAGAACAACATTTTGACAGCTGGGAGGAAGAATGCATATGGGGAGAGGGTCAAATCCTGAAGTCTCTCCAGTTTATGTACTTTTTAATCTCTAAAACCCAGTTACAGAAGAAGAGTTTCATAAAAGACACAAATTTGTGCCTAGAGTCTCACGTGTAACATTTGTCCAAAGCACAGGTTTGCTTGAACCTCAAGAGCTTACTGTCTCATCAGAAAGATATTAGCCAAAGTTCAGTGCAACATTGCAAGAACTTTCCAATAAAAATTCCATCCATTTTTCCCTCCTTGTGGTGATGTTCTGTATCTATTTGGTCTCTGCATTTAGAAATCTATAGTCACCAAGCTGCAGCCTTACAGAACAGTCTTATGCATGTTTACTTGTAATGTGTTTAGTCATAACATGCTTATTCCCTGGCAAGTGTGTATAGGACAGGAGCCTTAGGGAAGAATCAAATGGTGAAAAGAAGTAATTGCACTAACCAATTCAGAACAAGCATTGGTTTCCACTAGTTCATTGCCTGGAGCGCTAGTGACAGCATGCCATCCAAGTCCTCCCCAAGTCTGAATAGCTACCAATAACTTTTTATACATAAAGGGATATGTAAATTGACAGTGGTAATGTGATAATCATTATTATATTATATACACATGCAGACATTTGCTTTACCATCACTTAACAGCATTGACATTGAGTGGTTTCCCTTAGATCTATCCCTGATGAATATGTCTTTAGTTAAAATGCACCTTAATTCATGCTTTATCCCTTTATACACCAGAGGAATGTTGCAGACAATGTGTACAGGGTTACTCTGTGTGTGCGAGAGAAAAATAAAGAGCTTTTTCATTACTGTTAACCTTGAAAAGGTGATCTCCCAGCTGCTGCCTGCCACAACACATCAGAAGAGTATTTATGACTTCATGTTTAGCTTGCAGATGTTTGTGAATAAAATAGCAATGTGCAATGCTTAGAATTTTGGGGAAAAACAAGATTTGGAATTTGGAAGTTGGAGAACCCTGTGACAGCAAGGTCCCACATTCTAGGAAAATGTAGGCAGTGGTTTTAAGCATGAGCTTCTTTTCACACAAAAGGAACTGTTTTTCCATATCTTCTCAGGAGAAGTCTTGTGTGTCTCACCCCACCCAAGCAGTGCTTGCTCTGACTTGCTGCTTCCCTGAGCAAATAACTTGTCATTTACTATTCCCAGGCTTCACTGGGAAGAACATGTTATGATAACTCAATTGCAATGAAATGTGGTCTGGCTTTCCAAAATGCACGGCAGGAAAGGAAGTTGGTATTTCCTTCTCGTAAACACAACAAAACAGAGCACACAAACACATGTTGTACACATTTCAGTTTATTCTCCTTCCAGACATAAAATAAGATAAATGCAAAAGAAAGCATAAGTCTTATAAATTATATGTTGTCTTTAATGCATAAAGAGCAGCCAGTCTGTGTTTGCAGAAAATGCCTTGGGTCCTCCCTGCCTATTATTATTATTATTATTATTATTATTATTATTATTATTACTACTACTACTACTACTACTACTACTACTACTACTATCATCATGATGTCATTATTATTATTACTGCTACTGCTACTAATACTAATAATCTTTTGCTGAAATAAAAGCAAATGCTGACCTATCAAAGAAAGTAGGGCCAAGGTAAGCGTTCATGATGAGACATCCTTGAACAGAGCCAAAATTAATTTGGATACAGGCGAGGACAGCTCTGGACCAGCATCTAGAAGTCACAGAGTTGCCTGCTCATTTCTCAAGCTGACACTACAGTAGAAATGTAACAGTGGAATTGGGTGCACCAGCCTCAAGGCATCACTCACTCAGAATTATGATGAGCAGACTGGTCCCAGTCCCTAATCTGTGGCTTGGGATAGGATGAAAGATCAAGCAGTGGAACTAGAATAACCATTGAAGTAGCACAGTGGATGCTCGAAAGAATAGAGAGGCAGGTTGAATATCTTGAACTTTTGCGGCTTGATGTGAAACAAATGTTTGGGAGAATTTACATGACAGGTTAAGTTAATAATGATTCGCTGTTGCCAAGGAATTTTCTTTGGAGGAGTTGAGTGTAGGATCAAGCTCTATACCTACTGTTCCTAATCTCAGGTCACAAAAACTATGAATGACAATAATAATATGCAGGGCTTGTCAGTTCACTTTTAGTTATAGATATGTATCCATTTCCAATGACTTCCAGAAGCAAATATCCCTTATTATTTGCATCCATCTAGTTTTTTGAGAAATGATGGGTGAATATAGCTAATAACAAAAAAATGCATCAGAAATGTTGAAATGGGGGATCCACATTGTCACAACTTGCTTACTCAATCTAATCTGAGATCAGGTTTGTGAAACTACTGCTTTTTCCTCCAGCAAAGAAGATCCAGGCAGAGCAATCAAATACTCCTGCTGCACTGCTAAAGTCATAATGTCAGCAATACATCAGCATACCTTGGTTAGGTCCCTAAAGCACTCTAGCCTGGGAAGATGGAAAATGTAGATAATAATAACAACAATCATATTTTTCTTTGGTCCCAAAAGTGTTTCATAGATAATGTCAGAAATCCAGGTTTGCACACCTTCCCAATCAGCAAGCCACCTGCAAGCCACCCCCACTTTTGAACTATAATTCAGTCTCCCTCAACAACCCTAACAAATGAGTATTACAGCAATTTAATTTATGGCAAAATGATTAACAAAACCGTTAAGAGCATAATATACTTTCCATTTTATGGTTTTAGATACGTGGTCAGCAAGTACTGAGAAAGTGATGCACAATGGCTTTGATGGAAATTGAATGTAGCGACCAGCGTTTCTAATTTTTACAGCTAGCAAAATAACTTTTTAACAAATGAGCTGACTAATTAAAACATGCACACACCCCTTGTGGTGTATTTCTAGAGGTACAGATGGCATTGGAGTGATTAATTTATGTATTTATTTATTTGCACAAGCACGTTGAGAGGGAGTGTCTCTTAGGCCAGAGGGAAAAAAACGAGGCAATAAAATATTAGGGTGTACCACCCTGGCTGATGTATGGTGCACACCCTTGATCTTGAAAATTTAATTCACTGCAGCCTGTTATACACAACTGGAAGAGGAAAATGTGCTAAAAGAAAAACCTGCATGTTGGAAATATTCCTGCCCTCCTCTGTAAAATTGTCTTTGATAGCATTCCATTCCTTCTAGTCTTCCCAAGGACAGAGTAGATCTGGGATTTATTTATTGGATGTGCCTTCTGCTCTTCATCAATTATCTGAAGATGTTTTTTCATAGTCTTATGTGAACATGGATTCAAGAATGCTCACTAGTTTTCTAATTGTTTTGCAGTAAGATCTGTGTTTGAACAGCCTGATTGGGACCATCTGACACAAGTCCCAATAAAGCATTGTTATTAATAATAATAACGTTTACTAAGTTATTCCTGGCTGGCAGTCAGAGTGTGCATTTGACTCTTTGCATGATCCAGTTCCATAAAAACTTCACTGCAATGTGAGCATACTAAATATAGCTCTTCCTGTTCTAGGTCAGAGACACACAACTTGTGAACCTCCAGATGTTTTAGCCTACAGTTCTTGTTATCCCAAGCCAGCATAGCCAATGGTGAGTGTAATGGAAGTTGTTGGCCAAAACATTTGAAATTGCCCATTTCTGTCATAACCGAAGATCATGATTTGTATGTCCTCTGTTTTGCCCACTTGTAATATACAAACCTTATAAAATCTAGATAATGCATTCCTTCCTAAATGCCAGCTGATCACTTGGATCAAGCAACCCATGAAGGTAACTTTAAACAGGCCAATCTAAAGCCCTAGCAGGACACATGGTCCAGTTTTAAAGTACCTTCATCTCAGGTTATATCACAGTAGATTAAGCACCAGCTAGCAAACCTTATTCTACCTAGAATAAAGCTTTTGTGATGCTTAGAGCACCAGCTTGACTCTGAGGTCCAGAGGTGATCTCCTATTCATCCCTAGACCCACACTGATCTATTATTTCATCAATCTCACTCTAAGCCCATACAAAGGCATTGTTTCTGCTTACAATCTACCTGCAATCTACCTACAACCTTAAGTCTGTAGGTATCCTTAAGTCCAGCTAGCCCGTGCACTTTAAAATCATGGGATGTTGTACCAATAGGCAATCTGTCTCATAGCTGCTAGATCTGGCTAGGTTTCACCCAACTAGCTGCCCAGTTCTTTATGATCTTTGCATGCACTCTCTCCTCCTCTGATGACATAGCCACATTGCCATGGTTTTTCTCTTTTGCTTATGAGCCTCGCTGCCTGGGAAACTCAGAAACCTGCGTTGCTGCAAACAAACCAGTTCCATTTCAGTGTGGCAGCTCAAGCCCACTTTGAACTCAAGCTCTCTTCTCTGGACCTCCAAGGGTTTTTCCATATTGATTACACAACTGCAATACAGGGTGCAGTGGCCTCAGAACATGAGGGAACCTTGGCATGAGGGAAAGCAGTATGATGGCTACAAGTTGCTGATGTTAAACACTGTGTTTTATTCTTCCCAGAACTGAGCTGAGAGACGAAGGTGGTGTGCTAGGTTTACATGGAAACTTGAACCAGGAACCCACAATATTTTCCTGGTTCTACTTTCTTTCTTCTCTTCCCTCGGTTTCCTTGCCTTTCTCTGAATTATTTGGTTGGATGAGTTAAGGCTCAAGGTGAAACTGTGGTATAGTGCCCTCTCCAATCCAAATTTCATTTTTAACTGTGTAGTGCATTTGCATGGAGCTCCAGATCCGCAATGGTGGCTTAGCCAGCAGTCAGTCTGCCCCTCATTGCCTGCATTAATGCATCTCTGACTATACCAATTTTGGGGTGTGGGCTACATGCTATGGTCCTAAGTCCCAACCAGACCAAGGCCCAAAGGGTAGCTCCTGGGTAACCTGGGAAAACCTCTGGGTAGCCAATGCTTATCTAAGCATACACGCATGCACACACACACTTGGGGGGGGGAGGGAGGGAGGGAGGGAGGGAGAGAGAGAGAGAGAGAGAGAGAGAGAGAGAGAGAGAGAGGATGAAAGAGATTGCATTTGGATTTCCATTCTATGCCTTTAGGAGAAGGGCATTTGAAAATACTGCCAAATCTTTTTCTTTCTCAGAACTGTAGTAAACAGCAGCTCCATACCATGACCTGGGTCACAAGAAAATCATACAGAAATGGATTTAACCAACACCCAATGGATTCTATTATTCTTTTTGTTTCTGTCCCCATTTATTATTTGTTGAGCATGTTTGTTCTCTCAGTTTTGCCTGAATCTGTCTGTAGCACCTCCTGATCTGAGTTTATATAGCACATTGTTGGGTGTGTACTCTGCAATGAGTAGTTGTATATCCAGCCTGCAAATTCCCTTCCTTACAAAAGCATTGACATGCTTCAACAATGGATATTTCATGACTAATTAATTATTTCTAATTTTTTAAAAAGCCCTAGAAATGTTATCTGTGTAGATGTGGCTGTGGTCTGTGTGTCTGTGTGTGTGTGTAAATTAAAGGTAACATTTTCCTGATAATGGAAACACTCCTCATGTTTTGGAAAGTATTACCCATTGGAGTCTGGGTAGGAGATGCTAACCATTTTGCTACCTTAATAGGGGACAAGGAAATCATCTGAACTCAGTTTGCAGTCTGACTTGCTAGAATGGCTTGGATGGAATTGGCTAAATGCAACAGCTGATATCTAGGAATCTGATACAGGATTAGTGACTTGATGGCCTGTTGAAGGAATGTATATGATCAACTACTCTCTGCTGCCATATTTGTGTGAGCATATGTGTCACTCTAAGAATGGATGATGAAAATTTCAGTCACATATATCAGAGATCTCCTGGAGAAGATATACAAAAATGAAAACAGAAAGGAGCACACATTTTCATCCCAGAACATTTAAGCCTAAAATAATCCTATAGCAACTTTAGGAATAAAATATCTATTGTTTCCTCAGCTACTGTAAACTACAAACCCCTTCATCAGGCTGTCAGCTTTGATAGCTAACTGCACCTTGGGGATAAGGTAAGTTTCCTTTTCCATGTAGGATAAATAAATTCTGTTCTGGGACTTATTTCTGTACACATTCAGTGGTTGTGCTGAAGGGTAGAACTAAAGGAAAAATATGGTAGAGGCTTCAACATCATGGTCAGCTGGAGAATCCCAGAAGGCTGAATAGGGACTGCAGGGCTTGATCAATACCCTGCTTTAGGGTAACAGAACGGCTCCCCTTCCCCTGCACACATGCACCCCACTGGTGTGCCATGATATGGATTTCAGAAAGAACCTTACCGCATGGCCCCAGTTGTTTCCTGTGTGAGCTTTGGCATAGTAGCTACCACGGGCTGTTCCATAGTTGTAACCATCAGCCAGGCCATCATACATGGAACCTGCAAGCAGAGCAACAGTATTAGGTGTGGAAAAGGAGAGTTCTGAACCCTGATTCAAGTGAATCATTTTACTTTCTCAGGGAAATAATTATTTCTCCTCCATATTTGGTGAAAGAGCAATAAGATTAATGGACATCAAGGAGAAGACCGCTGCTTCCCTTATGGATAGGGCTATAAGGGACCCACTAAGTAGATTTGGCATGTGAAACCCAATTCATCTGATTCCTGTTGGGTTAAGACAGTTGGTAAAATATGAAGAATTCAGAAAGCTGAATCTGAATCTGAAATGTTACCAGATTTTGAGCTTGTAAATAGTATTATTTCAACTTGATAGTTAGAAAACTCATTCAGTTTACCATTCGTTTCATGACAAAGATGGCAAATTATTATTCGTATTATTTTTTTAAATATAAGATACTGGATGGGGGTAAGCAAATGCAACAATATAAATTGCTCATATCACCGCTATCATATAAAATCCAAGTTGCCTGTGTCCAGGCTATCTGAAAGGCTGTTGTCCTATAAGAGCCTGCCCAGGCACTAAGATCTGGGGAGGCCCTGTCTCAGCACCCTGACAGTCATGCTTGGTGGGAACATGGGAGAGGGTCTTCTTAGAGGCTGGCCCAAAGCACTGAAATTCCTCTCCTCTGGAGGCTAACCCTAACCCAATCCCTTAATTTGTGAACATGGAGCAGCAGAATTGTATACATTGCTCTCTCACAAAGTTTGTAACAAAACTTTCTCCTCATGGAATCTTTTCCAACCACCTTAATTTTGAGCTTGTATTCTCACTTGGCTTCCTTTGAATGTTTGCATAGTATACAATTAGTCACCAAGGCTTTGTTTACCAACTTCTGCAACAAAGGTCAGAAGTTATCAAATTCTTAATCTCTAATGCAGAAGGCAATAGATGTCTAAAATGATGAGAAAATTTTGTCCTACAAAATTTTCTCTACCGTTAGATGCATCAACAGTAGATGCCCAAGAGTTCGTTTAAGAGAGCAGAAAGAATTTAAGATAAGACTTAAAGGTAATTTGCAGCAAAGCTGTAGGTTCCTTTGTAGCAACAAGCATCAACATAAGATTTGATGGTTGCACCCATCTTATTGAACCCTTCCTACAGTTTTATGAGTGAGGGTCCTCTGCAAGATGTTTCCAGAGGGAGAAAAACACATAAAGACAGACAAGGCAATTATATTTTAGAGGTCCAAGTTCTATTGCTGCAAGAAGTAGTCAGCCTTCTGACCACTTCTACTTCTTATCAGTGATCTCCATCAGCAAAGGTTTTCACCTTTATCTGACAAATTATGGACAGTTGTCATGTGACTGTAGATCAGCCAAAAGAAAATGAAATACATTCTTGCAGCACCTTAAAATTCAATCTGACCTATGATGGCAGTGACACAAGCATCCTTGTTTTCAACAATGTATGCAAGAAGCTCACCATTTATTTTTATCTGTGCATTTACACTGTCTTTTAATTACATATTTAGACAGTCAAATTTCTAACGTTTTCTGAGTAATGCATAAGGCAAATTAAAAATAAGATAGAACTTCACAATAAAACAATAAAAAGTAGCTTACAATGAAGAAGCACATTGTAAAATAGTGGCTGGGGAAGGATAGATTAGTTCCTAATAAAATGGTGTGTAACCAGCAGCAAATAATAAAAGGATTCAGAGAGCAAATACTGCTAAAACATAATATACTAAATACATTTCTATACCATTCCACAAACATCAATTGGATTACATGAAATACTCTTCCTTGTTTAGAACTCTATAATAATGGTGCGCAATAAATGCATCAGAGGAAGCATGCATGAAGCCAAAAATTGACCATAGTCATCAAGTTGCAAGGATAAGCAATGAAATAAGGTATGGAGAAACCCTGAATATGAGACTGAGGTTGTGATACAGTGCCTAGTTACTAGAGGTAAGCACTGAACTCCATGGGTCTCCCTTCTGAGAAGACATGTGCAAAATTGCACTCTTAATCTCAGTTCACTACCAGTTGTTATTTCATATAAAAGCATGCTAGAAAAGGAAGATCAATTTGGGACCACTCTAAGGTCAAACCACTCAAAGAAGGATAAAGGTTGACTTAAGTATATTTTATTTTTATTTATTTATTTATTTAAAACATCTGAGAGAGTCTTAAAGAGGGTCTAAACAACCTATTTTTTTCACTCCGGGTGCAAAAATGGCAAACTTACCACTTTGTATAAATTCTCAACACAAATGAGAATTTTATCTTTGAATCTATGGGAAAAGTGATGACTCAATGCACAGATCTTTGTGCAATCAAGCTAATTGTGAATGTGATGCACAGCAATTATTCCATTCTCTATTTTATTTCTTCTAGAGATGCACAAAACACAAACTTTTATGGACACACCCCAAACAGATAAGTGTTTGTGGTGAGTTGAAGAGGCATCCACACAGAGTTTGTTAGGGCGGTGTGGGGCTAAGATGTGAGGGCTTTTCTGTGCTAGCTGTTGGGTTTTTTTTGGAAATTCCATGATTGCACTCCCAGCTCCTGATAAATAGTCATCATTTTAAAAATTAATCTAATTAAACCTCTAGCCACACAGTTGTCCTGTGAGGTTGTTCTATGGCTTAGAGCACACTCTTAACCTAGAACAGGAAGGAGAGGTTAGCTTTAATTACCAGCTTAGCAAGTTTCCCCAGCCTTAAGCATTTTTTCTAACTGCTTTTTGAACATGTATTATTTAGCTCAATGAGACTAAGAAAACCCCTTTTGAAATTAGAAGTGCGACCCAGAAAAAGGAAGCCCAGGTTGCTGTACTCGAAAAGTGCCTGGACTGTGCTGGAATCGTAGCCAAACAGAGCAACCTTCTCCAACCTGGCACCCTCCAGATGTGTAGGACTATAACTATCACCAGCCCCAGCTGCTTGGGGATAGGAATGGTGAAATGCTTATGTATTGGGAAAGGTTTCTACTCTCTGAGGGCACAGGATGCTATGGCCTTGTTTTGGGTGCTGCCTGGAAGGGAGACTGCTGGCAACGAGGTCCATGGAAGCTACCTTGGAATCATGGATGAAAGATAGAACATAAACATTATGAAATAAACACACAATTCAAAGAAGGCCTGCTTCACAATCTATGCGGTAGGCATATTTGTCTAGCATACAACAAGATTAAAGCTTTGCTTGCTACAGTAAACCCAGGAAGTGTGAAAAAGAAATGCATGCCTTTACATACACAGTGTGCACACGCCAAGTGCTTAGTAAAATGCATCTGCACCACACTTTATGTATTTGCATAGCAAACACCAGTATAACAAGCACAAGTGCAACACAAACCATTAAGTGACTAAGCCAGCAGATAAACTAGTTGTTGTCCTATCTCTTACTGGGACCCTGGCCTATCTCACAGGCTTGTTGTCAAGATGCTGTTCTAAGCGTTCTTCTCCAGATGCTGCTGCACAAATGAACAGCATCAGGCTCATAAGGACATGAGCAGAGCCTTGCTATATCAGACCCGTGGTCCATCTAGTCCAGGATTCTGTTCACAACTAGCTACCCACAGGACCCCACAACAGCATATGAGTACAACTGCACCATCCTGCCCAAGTTCTCCAGGAACTGGAGCACACGGATGTTCTGTTTCTGATATCAGAAGAAGCTTATAGCCATCAAGGCTGGTAGGCATTCATAGCCTTCTTATCCATGAACTTGTCCAATTAAACCCCTAACCCAATTAAAATTGTCCAGATTGGTGGCCCTTGTTGCATCTTGTGGCAGTGAATTTCATTAGTATGTGCAGTGTGAAGAAGTACTTCCTTTTATCTGTCCTGAATCTCCCACACTTCATGGAACAACCCTGGGTTCTAGCATTATGGAAGAGAGAGGAAAATGTCTCCCTATCCACTCATCAGGAAGTGAAAACACACGAAACTCTCTTGCATTACTGGTGCAACAGTTTTACAGTTTATTGGCTCCAAGTATTTACTGAATATGATCCCCAAATGCAAATTTCTTTGCTATAAATTCAGCACAGCGGCACAGGATTTTGGGGGCATTTTCTCCTCACGATTCTCTTCTGTGACAGATGTACTATAAATAGGTTAGCATGACAAACTACACTTACAGATTTCTTTTCCTCAGTCTACTGGGAACACTTTTACAAGGTAGCATTATTGTAAATGCTTCCTTTATAAGCATACTGTAATTACTCACTGGTCTTCCTGTCATTTCTTCAGGTTTCCACATGTCAAGCAACAGGCCTTACACATACCCGAAAGCCTGAGTCCTCACAGGAGAAACAATGCTGTCATTTTACCTGCAGTAGTTCTGTGACCATCATTTGCTTCCAAGATAGCAGTAAGATAGGCCCTCTTTCCCACATTGCCAAACCAAACTTCCCAGACTAATTTATAATCACCTTATGTGCTTAATCATTTTACTCATACCAGATCACTCAGACTAATTCATAATCACATTACCTGTTTAAACTTTTTAATCATGCCAATACGACATAGGACTTGTTTTTCTTATATTCATTTTTGGTGCAACCTAAGACAATTGTTCCAAATCAGTCCACCCAGAAACTGCAAGCACTTACTTATATATTTAAAGTTTGTATATGCCGCCCAATACTAAAGTGTCTGGACGGCTTACAAAAAACAAAAAACAAAACAACCGCATACAACTCACAACACACAACACACTGCATTCAACCATAATGATAAAATCAAAGATAAAAACAATCAAATGTTAAAATATTGGGAAAATAGAAAAGGTCTTCACTTGACACAGGAAATAATAAAGTGACAGCGCCAGGCAAACCTCCCTGGGGAGTGTGTTCCAAAGTTGGGGTGCCACCACTGAAAAGGCCCTTCTCCGGGTTGCTACCCTCCTAACTTCCTTCAAAGAGGGCTCCCAGAGAAGGGTCTCTGCCTCTGATCTCAAGGGGTGGGCCAGCATATAGGAAAGAAAGTGCTCCTTCAGGCATCCAGGGCCCATTCTGGATACCAG